GTTACCTTATTTGCATAATTAATTTTCTGCGTTTCCATCAACATCTCAAGTTCAAGTAATTTTGAATTAATTTTTAATGTGTCTCCAATACTCTCAGCACACGGGAGTTCTTTCTAAGCTTTCTTTGATTTTTACTTACCACATGTCATATCTACAGATGTCATATCATTGTGTATCCAATAGTTGCAGTATCATCTATGGAAGGAAATGAGATCACAGAGGAAGTCTTTCACAAGGCATTAACAAACCAACTCACAGAAGAAAAAGCCTCCATAGTGTATTCAGGAATCTGTACCATACTGAAATGTGCATTGAGATTACCTCAGACATCACTCAAAACAGATGTAAGTTACAAATGAGAAGTTCTTTTTGTATTAATTCGATGTGTGTTTTGGTGATTAACCTAAAATTGATGGACAAGTCATAGAGTATGACTTGTTTGATGATTCATTGAACCAATAATGGCACAATTCTTCCATGATTCATCTACAATTATTCAATGGCAAAGAACAAACCCGATGCGAGCGAATTGGCGGCAAAAGAAAATAGAAAGTTAGTTTTATTCTGTTGAATCTAAAATTTACATTTCTGGCATACAGCAAAATACAGCACTAAAAGGCAAAAGGCGTGAGGAAAAAAAACAAAATAAACGAACCTAAAACAGAACTATGACAAATCGATAAAGAGCACTCGAAAAACAAAAACAAAACGTGATACAAATACCTAACGATAGAAAAGTGAGCTGGCATAACCACAAGAAAAAAATGGGTGGGTGAAAATAATCGGAACAGAAATGACTGGGCACGAACAGCGTGTGATGTAAACAGTGCATGTAAACAGAAAGAAGCAAATGGGCTACAAAAATCATGCGCAGTGGAGAAGTGAAACAAACGAACGAAGCTTATGCAAATGAAAAGTATGCAAATGAATAATTAACAATTTTGAACTGCTTACAAAATACAACAATTATTCAATGGCAAAGAACAAACCCGATTCGAGCACATTGGCGGCAAAAGAAAATAGAAAGTTAGTTTTATTCTGTTGAATCTAAAATTACATTACTGGCATACAGCAAAATACAGCACTTAAAAGGCCAAAAAAATAAAAGCTGCCAAAAGCGAATGTTCAAAGTGTCGGATCGACTTGGCCAGACTTGATAGCAGCGCGAATGCATGATGCCGTCCTGAGGCAATGACCTAATGAGGATTCTATGTAGAGCAGGTAAGCTTGTGAACGCCAGTCGCCTTGCGCTTTAATTGCTTCAGGGTCTGCTCCTGACTGAAATGCGAAAGAAGCGCCTCCACAGCGAAAGCTGTGACCGGAGTAGCTGTTTGGCTCCAGGCCTGTGGAGCTGAGCAATGATCGCAGATGTCGAACGAAAGACTGGTAGGTCAAAGGATGGAGTCTGCCGCTAGATGACGGTGCAAGGAACAGAGGCGCATTCGAAGGTGTTGGCAACATGTCCACCATCCGCTTGTAGGCTGATATTTGGCAGAGGGCGGAGCCGAGGATAGCCAGGATGGGAATGTGCAGTACACGTTCACTGAACTGTATGGTTTTGGACCATGTGATACGAATGATCACCCCTGTGGTGTTATAACCGACGCTGCCCCGTGAGAGATGCATGTGAATGTCGAAAGCTGTATCTGAAGGGGGCACCAGATTGGACTTACGCAGGAACGAAAAAAATGCGATGAGAAAAGCGGACCACAGCGCAACGTGCAGCGGGTGTGTAAATTCCAAGATACGATGAATGCGAAGGAGGATATCCGGTGTGATAGGCAACTTGCGGTGAGGCTGATGCGCAGTTATCCGCTGTATTTCCCGGAGAACAAGTCGCAGTTCAAATGAGTCGAGTGAAGGTAGGGTCTCCGTGACAAAAAGATGCAGCAGACGAACATCGTTGAGGTAGTTGCGAATAGATGCTGTGCTTGAAAACGAGTGGGCGAGAGACTGTGTGTAGCAAATAATTGTTCGTGTTGTGGCCGAAACTGGTTGGATGCAAAAATAACCCAAACAGAAATGACTGGGCACGAACAGCATGCCACCAACTATAATCCACTCTAATATTTCAACAACTCAAACATTTTTTTTTTATGCTCCAATTAATGCTAAGAAACGACGCTAGAGACCAAGTCTTGGCTGAGAGCAGAAGGGATGTGAGCCACGGTCAAACGTCGTCGCCGAAACCTGTTACGTGATGTGAGTCGCAGATTTGATTCACATCACGGAGAGATTAGCATGGTACTTGATGGAGGCCAGTCAACGCAGGGGTCACCACCCGACCTTCGTTGCAGATACCATTTCCGTGCACAGAGTCGCATGTTTGACTCTATTCACAAAGAATGGCAGCGTGTTAATCGAGTGGTGCCTGCATGCACTGCGATGACAACCCCCCTTAACTTTATTGAAACAATGTAGAAATAATACAGGTTGATGCAGGATTTGAATGCTTAAATTATGAGGTAGTGGGTGGGTGGGACAGTTTGGAGACAGGTTCAGGTCGCTTGCTGAACGTAGAATGACTATGCTAAGGGGAAGCGAGATACAGGAAAGCTTGACAATTGCATGGCAAGTAGGATTAGGCAAAGGACCGTCACGAGAGTATGAGCTTACAATATGCGTGTGAATGGAAATAGCACGGGCGAGGCGTGCACGAGATGGAATAGGGGGATGTCATGTGCAGGGGGATTACGACTGGCGTGTGTTGCGCAAGTCATGTGTTGGGGATTAAAACTGAGGCGTCGTTGCCGAGCATTAACGCAGACTATGCTGACGCATAATCATACTCTTAAATGACAGTAGACCAATAGTTGATGATATTATGAAATGTGAAAGAATTACCTCTAATGAATAATAAAAAAATGTTTATTTAGCGGGAAATTGCAGACTTCCCTAACAAAGCTGTGATTTCCATCTCAGAGGGCACTCATTATTGAAAATTCAGTACAAAGGAGGATGTTTTTTTTACCCCCTGGTAACAAGCTGTGAGTTGAGTTGTTGTGTACACATTTCTAATCATGTCTGTTGTTGACATAAATTGAGATGCATCATGGGAAATCACAATATACATACTGAATTATTCTATTC